TATGTATAATAATGAACTTGAAGATGATGTATAACTTTAGGAAAGTGAAAATATATTTTCCAGATCATGTCTCAGTGCCTGGTGGAAGCTGACTGCCCTTGCTCTTGAGATAGACATTGGAACAAACCAACCTTGAAAGTATTTGTGTGACTGTGGTCTATTCCTGAAAACAGATGTCTTTAAATGCTTTCTGTATCCGCAAGTGTCTTCACTTCTGTTAAGAAGAAGAGTGTGTTGGTTGGCACCGTTTCCTTGTTTCTGATTTCCTGATTAGAAAAAAAAAGGCGTATGGGCTTTGAAGATGGTGGTGATATTTCAAAAGACTACTGGCTTCAGTAGCCACATCTGCTCCTGTCATCTGCTTCTGGTAGTGTGACCCTCGGCTGTCAGCCTGTCCCAGCTCAGAGTCCTCGCTTTCTCAGAGTTGGGGCCCCAAGCTTAGCAGCATCATATTTAAAGAAATAGTTGGTCCTAATCATATGGGCCTTGTGGTGATTGTTCCGAGAGCAGGTAACCCAGGCCACAGATGTGACAGCTTCTGGTGTTGGGAGTCGTGTCGCAGCACTGAGGGAGACAGGAAGGGGTGCTCTGAATCGTGTGGGAGAGACGGATAACTTGACTTTTGTCTTTGGATACAACATAAAGCAAAAGTCCATATTGGATGATTTTGAAAAACAAGCATTTCCCTAGCCAGAGAAGTGATTTGTTTCCTGACCTTGAAATACATTGACGCTTTATAACCCCAGAGTTCCAGTTTCTCACGTGTAGACTCAGTAACAATATGTAATTACCACTCATCCGAAACACCTGCTTCCCAGTGTGACCCTGGCCCAGAGATAAATTCTTAGTGCAATGTGTAAGGCAACCCTTGTAGGAAAAGACGAAAGAAAACAGTGACAAGAGAACAAACCCTGCAGGACAGCAGATGTGCAGGTTCGCATTGTAGCACTCCCAGAACTCTGCCCAATGCGCCGTTAGCTGGCCCAGCAGAAATGGTCTATAGCAGGCTTTCTAGCCATTGTAGCACTTTGGATCTGTAGGCAAAACCCCCAAAGACTAGCGGTTCCTTTTATTTCAACTTGGCATATGGAGTCGAACTGGAAAATTCCCTGAGGCATTAGTCATTGGCCTGATTTTGAGGGAGTATGGAAGGTAGCAGCAGAGATCAGAGAGAGAGAAAGAATGAGAATGGTATTTAGACTTGAGTTCTACAATTGAGAAATTATAATAAAGTATCTTTTTTTAATCTGGATGGACATTGATATATAAATTCTTAGAATTAATAGAAAAAGGGCCAGCCTCCTCCCTAACCTGGCTTAAGAGTGATCTTGCTATGAAAAGCCCAGAGCCTCACACATACCAGACAAGTGCTGTACTCCGCCTGCGCTGCACACCGCCCTGGACCCTGATGGACTGACCACTCCGGCAGATTCTGGGGGTACCTTCCTCCCCACTGCTAACGGCCTGTCCCCAGATGCCCACTACCTGCCTCAGACGCTTGGTTGCATGGGCACTGGCCGCCGCACAGCCTGTCCTTTGGCTCACTCCCTGGGCACTGCTGTGACACAGCTGCGACACCAGACTCCAGCATGGCCAGCATCCCCTCAGCCTTCAGCCTCGAGGACTAATCTGAGCCCCACAGTGTAGCACACGGCTAATGCTCTTGAATAAGCAGCACCAGCTTCTCAGCTTAATGCTTCAAAATGTCAAGGCCTCTTTGGAATTCTCTGAATTGGACCCAGAGGCTTGCTCAGCCCCAGTTCCAGGCTGATTCCCCTGCCCATGGTTCCCCCCAACCCCCCGGCTCCTTTGGTTCTAGGGAAAATCAAGGACCCCTTTTGAGAACACCCATGTTCCTTGTTGGCATGGAAGTCATCTCATTCCTTGCCATTGACGTGGTTCTAAATGTTTGATAGGAAAATGCCAAATGGTTTCTCTGAACCACGTCCTCCATCACATCTGCGTGTCCTGACCCCTGAGGCCCACACCCACTCTTGTCTCCAGTTTCACCCCTCTGGCCTGCATGCTGATGGGGTGCATTATCATTTCATGAACTTCACAAACCGCCTGCCTGCTCTGTTGGGACAGCTTCAGACTTCATATTTCTTACCAACCTTTATCCGAGGCCACAATCCTTGGGCAAGGGAGGTTTGTTAGCAGGTGTGTTGGGACAGATACTGGGAAGTTTCCCAGAATATCAAAGATTTTGACAGCAGGATAAGTGATAGACTTTTATTGAGCCCCTTCAGCATCTTTTGTGCGTGCGTGTCTTGTACTGCTTTTAGCTGGAGGTGTAGGTTTGTAGGGAGCCCCAGCTGTTCAGTGCCGGTTGTCTCCCCGACTCAGAAAAATGGTATGAGCCACGGTGAACAGCAGGGTCAGAGAGGAGCAGCAGCTCAAGCACCCATTTGGAGACAAGCTCTCCACCCACACTGTGTCTGTCTGAGAAGAGGAAGTTCCTGTTTTCCAAGCTGGAACAGATTATAGGGAAAATTGCCCAGGATGGCAGAGGAGAAATAGAACAATTTTCCAGTTTCTCGGAGTCCTGATGTCGAAGCCTGCTTTTCCTTTGTTCAGCGTGAAGCCCAGCATGTGCATGACAATTCCCCATATTCAAAGTGACTACATTAGAGTGAGCAGCTGACCTTTTCATTTTGAAATAGACTATTAAAAAAAACACAAAACTACAGCCTCAAGTATAAAATTGGAAACAAATGCCACACTCAGTGTCAGTCCTGACCCTCCTCCCTCCAGGGTGTGGCAGCTCAGAAACAAGAAGAGCGTAACTGTGGCTCAAGCACATTCCTGTTCAAGCCACACAGAGGCCACAGACACGGCGTGTCCTGGATGAATGACCTGTAAAAATATAGTAAAAGATCATAGTTTGAGTAGGACCTGGTAACGTTTGTGGGACTTCGCTTGTGAGTCTCCTCCAGGGCTCAGTCTCACTGATGGGACTTGGATACTGAGTTTAGGCAAGTAGGGAGGAAGAGGTTCTTGTGCTACGTGTCATGAATGAAGCTTTTCAGTTACTTTGCTCCTTAGAAGAGCTAACCAGCAAAAAGAAGATCTCCCAGAAATTCCAGGAAGACTGAAGAACCTGGAAGTAGCATTTGGAGTTTGCAATCTGGTCCCCTGCCCTCCCAAAGTTAGGGGTCTGCTTGAATCCTGGCTGGTATCTTACTTAGTCTGTTCCGTACTGCTATAACAAAATACTTAAGGATGGGAGCTTTGTAAGAGTTCTTATCGACTCATAGTTCTGGAGGTAGGATGGCACTGGCAACCTGGAGAGAGGACCCCAGTGGCTGCATCTCAACATGGTGGAAAAGCGGAAAGGGAAACAGCTTCATGCAAGACAGGGAAAGTGTGGGGGGTGGCCTTGCTTCCTAACCACCTGCTCTTGTGAGACCTGAGACCCATTAAGGCATTGATGAGGGTGGAGGCTGCTATGGGCCAGTTACCTCCCGCTAGGCTGGGTCTCCAGGGTCTCACCGTCTCCACTGCACCACATGGACCAAACTCAAGCAGGAACCTTTAGGGCATTAGGCATATCGAAACTGTAGCATGCAGGCATGTAAAGACTTCTTGGAGTGGCTTCCCTGATGAAGATACGGGTTTCACTCCATGGTTCTAGGGTTTACTATGTTTACTCAGTATTTGCATAAAGTTACAGTATTGGGATTTTTCTCCTAGCTGTAAAGGCATATATGAATTATTTATCAAAAGACATTTGAGTTATTTTTTTCTCTAATAAGGGCAACACTTGTACCCTTTGGCTCTTCGCTGCATTACTAGAATTCTGCAGTTTGAATGGTTGAGTAAATTATAAGTAGAGTTTTTATACAGGAAAATAAGATCCATTGTGTTTGTTAGTTACTTTTCTCTCGTTGCTGAGACAAAATACCTGACACTCAAAAGGGAAGGGGTTTATTTGGCTTACAGTTCATAGAGGTTCCAGTCCATAGTCAGTGGGCTCCGAGGCTGAGATGGCAAACAAGCATTGCAAAGAAGAGACAACATGGTGCACAAAAGGCTGCAAAGACAACAAGAGCCTTCACAGCGTCTCCCTGCCCCTTTTATTTAGTCTACTTAGGGCGGGCAGCACTCACACCCTAATCCTACTGCCTGTGAGCACAGCATTGTATGGAGAATCAATTCCAACTTCACACACTCCAAATCCAGCCTATGACCATGTAAGGCTTTGGGGGGACATCTAGACCCCAACTGTAACGTCCATGTACATACTAGGTGAACCCACCAGGAAGCAGACATTAAGGCCATCTACTTATGATTTGTCATTAGGGTTTAGAGACCTCTGCTGCAAACAGACTGCTTCATTTTGTCTGTCTGTCTGTTTGTTTTTGATACCGGGGATCGAAGTCGGGTCCTTGTGCTTGCGAGGCAGGCAGCAGCACCACTGAGCTAAATCCCTGGACCCTAACTGCCTCATTTTGTCT